TGTGTGTGTGTGTGTGTGTGTGTGTGTGTGTGTGTGTGTGTGTGTGTGTGTCTGGAAAAAGATCCCAATTTTCGGCAAAGCTATTTTTTACAAAAATGTTAAAAGACCAAAAAAAGTAATACCTAGTCAAAAATGTTGTTCCATTAGAATACACACTATGAGCATTCTTAATAACATGTTGAAAAGATTCTAAAAGTCTGTTTTAAATATTTTTGTTAATTACTTTTTGCAGCATGTTGGACTCCACTAAAGGTTACAAATTTGCCAGAAATTTTGGGGGGTTTTCAAACTTTGTTTTTATACCCTGAGTTAAAAAATATGGCACATCTTTTAAAAAATTACTCAAGATATTTGAAAAGTTTAAAAATCAGTGTGTTCAGCTACCTTCATTTCAATATTCAAAAGAGTGCTCTATTTGCCAACACAATAAAGTTAAGGGAACTGCATTGTTAAAAGTAAAAAAAACAAAAGAATTAATTTGTGTAACCCTAACCACAACACTTATCTTCATATGAAGAGACATGGAGGTCGCTGTCCTACCAATATTGGGTCATCAAAACACCAATTCACTCACAATTATCACCACGATCGCATTACCTTACAGCGCTTCCCGTCGAGTGCGAGCTACCTTCGGGGCAATACGCTGATGTCACAGAAACTGTGAACCGAAACACATGGGACATTAGGACACACAAGCGTCTATCAACTGCACTCCAGTCATGAAAATCGTTTGCACCTTATTTACAGATGACGATTCTCAAAAACTGTTTTATTCATTGACTGCGTTTTATGCTGGGAATTCCCGCTTAGAGAAACGGTGAGCAACAGCGCTTGTGTTCAGCTGCTTCAACAGTTTTAGTATAGTTCATGTTCCTGTTTACGTGATTAATGTCATGCCACTGAATGTCTTTACTCCATAGTCACTCAACGGAACTAGGGTTTCTCTTGGTGACATGTACACTTCGGGTTATCGTGCCTGTGAAATGTGTTTGACAATGCAATACGCTGATAATACTACGATAATTTTTCTGAAAAATTTACCCCCTTTTTTTTACTGTCAAATGTGCATGTTTATTTTTTTTATAAATTACGTTACGAAATGGCACTTTATGGCAGTTATTAAAGTACACAGACATAATAATGTCATTTTTAATCTAAGTTTTCTTTTTTACCAGGTGCAAAGAAACTGGCCTGCAATAGAAAACTACATTTCCTCTTGACGCTTAATGTCAACAGAGGATGAAAAGTAAAAGTAATTAAGTACTAACACAGTTCTCAGTGTTTGGTCTATGGGATGTGTAGAGTCTTGTTCCATGTCGGGAAAAAAGTATAAATGATCCACTACTCTCCTTGATTGAATTACGATGTCCCTTTTCACGGTTGCAGACTGAGGATGCAACCAGCTGGGACCCTGATGAACTCGGCGGGGATCTCACGTGTACACGTGCCAAACCAATCTATAAAGAGTTTTTTCATCAATACACCTTTGGAATTCCCCTCAGCTTGTCCCAGGCATTAGGGAAATTGGATCCTCCTAGATACAAATAGAAAATACCAATAACGGTACGTTTCAGGATTTACACCTGAAGTTTCTGTGTAACGCTGTGTAACAATTGATTGTCTCCCTTATCCAGGCGTTTTCGCACTGACGGCACTCCTGTAGGTCGGCGAGTTGCCAGATATCTGTCACGCAGAAGAGTGTCGGTCTTCTCATCCTCCTGGTCAGACCCAGCAGTAGCTGGACTTGCTGACCGGGGAGTGGACGGCGATGTCGAGATGAGGTCATGTGATCTTGTGACTGGGTCGTCTGCGACGTGGGTGATGCGTTGAGAATGATTACATGGAGTAATGTCTGCACTGCTGCAGTGAGCCTCAGGGGAATGTCTACCACCTTGTGTTGGTGAGACGGACGGCGAAGATGCTCCCGACATCCTGGAACCCAAGCTGGATTCATCAACGCAAGTGTTACATATAACCAAACTGTCTAATTTGTCGTCAGGCATACACCCCTTCTGCGAAATAGAAAGCATTTCGGTACTGTGCCTCGAGGGTCGCTCGGTAGCTGCTGTTGCCGTCGGAGCACGTCCTATGTTATGGAGAGAAAAGCTTATATGAATTTCTCCAGATTTTTTTGAAAGTTTGTGGGCTGTACCTTCTAAGTCATTGTTCTCCTTCCCTGAGACCTCTAAAATTACAGGGTAGTTGTTCAAGCTGACACTACTGTTCCTGCGAAGTTGCAAGATTTCTTGAACAGAACTGCCGTTAGTTTCCATGGTCAGCGCCGTTGGCTTTGAGTAACCCCGATCAGTAGAGTCTGTTGATCCTGATGTCAGTTCAACCTCCTCTTCCTTCAACTTAGCAGGGCTCTTCTTGTTACTGTAGACGGCTCCCTTCTTACTCTCACGGTCACTTTTCCAGAGTTTTGAGTGTGGGCGAAATTTGAATATGCCTGGAGTCGTCTTTGAAAGTTTGGTCTTGACTGGAGAGCTGACAGAGGCAGAATATGTTTTATCTTTACTGCTCAATTTCTTCCTACCATGGTTGCCATTACCTCGGCCCGTGTGCAAAGGCCACATCCGAATGTCGCCATTTAATTGAAGAGCCCGCTTAGTGCTTTCCTGCGTGCTGAGTGTAGGGTCGGTAGAATGGCTCGCCAGAAAGCGGTGGGCGCGGCCATGTTGGGGGCGCTGAGGGAAATCTTTGTTGTCTTTACACCGGCAGAAAGCCTTCCGCAGACAGGGAATCATGGGAATGCGCCTGGGAGGGGGGGGGGGATAAAAAAGATAAAGACGTTTTAGTAAGAGGAACGATCACGTCGTGAAACATCTTCATGAACTGAAATTAATTATACAAGTATGAACTTAGTAGCACCTATAAAAAGGTTGTTTGACTCCAAATTCGAAAAAAAGAAAACAAAAAAGCAACAGCAACAGCAACAGCAGCAATAACAACAACAACAACAACAACAACAACAACAACAACAACAACAACAACAACAACAACAACAACAACAACAACAACAACTGTGGGCTTTCTCATTCTCTGAAGAGTCAACATCGGGGTCTACGCATTTTGCGAAAAGTCTGTTTACAGCCATCCCTAGAAACTGTCACAGAAGAAATTTGGGTTTTCTTGTAGCAAGATAAGAATATTTCAAATTATTTTGATTTTCCATTTGTCAGGAGAGGAGCTTCAGCCATCCATGCACTCTTCGAACTTTAACTTTAAGAGTGCACGCCCATTGGTAAATTGAGTGAATACAGTCTCGTGTGTTTTGATCACCTGAGTTATCATAATTTATGTCCCCATCGACAGAATTTACACTAATTAGGAGATGAGATGCTTCGATTCCAACTGCATGGGCAAATCTTGACTGCAAGGGATACAAAATTGCAGAACAAAGACGAATAATATGCTTGATAGAAAAAACTTCATCACACCGGAATCGAACTCGTGTCTACCGCGTATTAGAGCGAAGTACCCAAGTGCTACACCAAAGATGTCGGTCTTTGAGTATCTCATCTTTTTACATCAGTTTCAAATGAATTCACAGCGTTATTCAGACATTCAATGAATCTAATCAGTATTGGAATATAACAATCTGGCTGACAACCGCTTTGTGTGTAAATATATGCTTTAGAAAGTACATGTGTATATTTTATATATATATAAAGTCAACAGTTTATCCATATATATCGGTAAATCTATCTGTCAGTAAAATGCTAAGACAAACTCATATCTTATTGAGCAACTACCTGAGGTTTCGACAGATCCGAGTACTGAAGATGCCATAAATAATTGGATTTGCTGCTGAGTTCAGCGGGGCTGCAGACTGGATGAAGGTCGATAGTCGATTACTCTTTGGAATCATTTCATAGACGTCCAGGAGATTGTAGAGAAAGAACGGGCTCCAGCATAACGTGAACACTGTAGCGACAGGGGGAAATATACAAAACATTACTCAGTTTCCATACTGTGCTCATAATATTTATTGTTGGAGATTAAGGAGGATGTGGATGGGTGATTGGAGGTTGAAGGGGAGGTGGTGGTTAGGGTCGGGGTGGTAAGGGAAGGCATGGATGGAGGTGGTAGTGGATGGGAGATGCTGGTTGGGGTGGGAGGGGGAGCGAAGGATGTGTGTGTGTGTGTAGATGGTAGAGCAGGGGTGTGAAGGGAAAGGTGTGGGTACGGGTGTGAGGAGAGAGGAGGGAAAATGAGGAACGGTCATAGTTGTAATCGTAAGTGAATTTGATTATTTATTTTTAAATCGCATCGGCAAAGATTATTTCTATTATTGTCTACTAATCCAAGACCAGATTCCAGCTCGCCACAAATCTCTTCGTGAGTACACTAAGATCATTTAGCAGTCACGCTGCTTCAATATTTCTTAACAGGGCCAAATTGGGTTTAGAAGGACACAGCATCTCGCCACCAAGACAAAGATACTCGACTAAATATAATAATATTCACCCACCATGGTATCATGCGGAACTTTTGCGCGCAACTTAACAGTGAAGAACCTCAGTGGTACATCACCGATACCGGTGCCACTTTGCTACCCTAGAGTTACTAAGCTTTATCTGCTCAACACCTAGTTTTGACAAATTTGACGTAAAAGAATTTGAGTTTCACAACATGTCAAGCTTTTTCGATTTCAATTCTTTGAATAACTTGAAAATGACTCCGAATAATCCGCCACCATTGACATACTTAGACATTTGAGGAGGCCGATTTCAACCATGACTGCCAGGCTAACTTGGACTGAGAATCTAACAACGTCCCAGTATAAAAACTGAAAAACTTGATAAAAATTCTACCCATACAGGAAAAGAAGCCTTCGGCATGCCACAGCGAAGTGACCAACCTCCACACTACAGGCACCAGTCCCAACACTATAACGTTCATAGGTAGATATCAAGTTAGCCTGAAGTTTTAAATTTGAACGTTTGTAGAGTTTGTATATATTAGACACGGTGCGATAGAATCAGATGCTCGTCAATTTTTGGGCACTTGGAGTTATTGGTATGATCTAGAAGGTTGTTTTTTTAAAATTCATCTTAACTTGTATGCAAAAATTCAAAACCAATCTATCTTGAATAGAAGTCGCGATATCTGCGATTGAACAAGGTGGAGGTTGCCAAAGATGCGGGGTGAGAAAAGCAGTGATGATGTGATGTATGATCAGAATACAGTATAAAATGCCTTACCTATAACTATGATGAGAGTCATTTTGATGGTCCGTATCTTGGCCTGAGGAATGATGCCTCTCCCGGAGTCGTGTCTGCTGGCATTGATGGTCAGACGATGGACAGAAGAACCTGGAGAGAAGATGGATAGTTTTGAAGAATGGTTCTTCTACATAATCTTCTCATTATCTGTGACATATGCCAAAATATCTCTTTTTTCCCAGAGGAAAATATAATAAATTGTGTGTTCGTGAGTGTCTTTGTGTTTATGTTTGTGTGTGCCAGAAATAAATAGAGATAGAGCGAGAGAGAGAGAGAGAGAGCGAGAGAGAGAGAGAGAGAGAGACAGACAGACAAACAGACAAAATGAGAGAGAGACAGAGGGGGGAAGATGGTGTCGTAGTCGGGGAGAAGGGTACCCGGTAAGATATAATGAGTTTGTAACGTCACCATCATCACCACTACTACCACTGCCGCATACAACAACAGCGACGACGACGACAACAACAACAACAACAAAAACAACACTAAAAAAACAAAAACAGCAACAACAACAACAGTAACAGCAAAAACCAATTACAGCACCACCAGTAACGAAAACAGCACCGCTTGTAACGAACACAAGAAAAAGCAGCAAAAACAACAGCACCAATAGCACCACCACCACCACCATCACCACCACCACCAACAACAACAGCAGCAACAATAGCAGAAAGAACAACAACAACAGCAACAACAACAGCAACAACAACAACAACAACAACAACAACAACAACAACAACAACAACAACAACAACAACAACAACAACAGTAACAACAGCCTTTGCTGGGAACTCACCACTGCTCTGTGACATTCTGTCCAAACGGGACCCAGACACATTGCTCTGCCCCTTAGACCAGATGATGTAGATGATGGCGATGTAGCAGATGGCGATGATGATGGCTGGGATGAAGAACGTCACCACAGAGATGGATGTGATGAACAACTGGGAAAATGGTCACAAATTAAGATTATTTTAAAACGTTTGGCAACTCTAATCTATCTATCTAACTACGTGTCTATCTATCTATCTATCTATCTATCTATCTATCTATCTATCTATCTATCTATCT